CCCCCTCCCCCTCGAGCTACGCATACATCCGCCTTTTCCGAATCCAAAGATGCCAGCAAAGCCAAATATGCCACAAGTATAGCAACAAAGGAAGTAATTGCACAGATTGCGATATCCGAATCCATGATGCAATCCCTCGAGCTTCAAATGACTGCACCCGAAATATACTTGTCTATCGTTRTAGACCCGAAAAATTTACAAGGCGCAACTCCTTCTGCAACCCGCGCTTCAGGAAGGTAAACGTGATTCTTTGTGAATACCAGCAGGCACTGTTACTCCTTCGCCCCCTCTCCCCCTCCTATCTTACTCCGCCGCCTATCGTAGTTCCATCGCCCGAGCTCCCCTTATCTATCGCAGGCCATCCATCTCAATCCTGCCGATATGGACCCCCTTATCGTAGTATCCTCACCCAATTTTCACTTTTTAGCCAATTCCGCCACCACAGCCTACCCCCTCTTATCTTACCCCACCACCTATCACAACGCCCGAACTCCCTTATTCCTTGTAGGTCCTCCGACTCAATCTTGCCGATCCGAACTCATCTTCCGTAGCATCATCGTCTGAACTCCCTCCATAGCCAATCCCGCCTCCACACCCTATCCGCTATTTTTGGAGAAAAAACCTTTTGTCCTCCGAAGCCCCATGCCTCCCCTTATTGTTCCCCTTCCCTCAGTTCTTTCAGTGATGCGCGCGGCTGCTATGGACCTTCATCGACAACAATACTACCGAGATCAGAGCAGAGGTCGAAGCGCAATCGTCAGTAGAAGAGAARATCTCGTAAGGCGCAGGCAAAGGTGAAGACTGGATACACCGCTCGGTAGCCTCTAGGTATCTCCGCCAAAGAGGAACTCTCGAATAATCAGGGTATGCAGCAAGAGGAGGTGGCGACTCCCTAAAGCGCTTTTCACCACTGCGCCACACAGCGGATTATCAGAGGGACCTGCACAACACAATCATCAAGCCACACACACAAGCCAATACCATAAAAGGGGAGGAGAAGATAAGACCGCGTCCGCATCGGGCTCCGACAATCCCTCCATGCCAAATGGCAACTCGATATCTTCCATGGCGCAGTATGCGTGCTGGAAACTGCCGAGGCCTTGAGCAACATTGCCGAACAGTCAAACACCCTTGCATAGCACGCCTTCAATAGCGCAGACATAGATGATTAAAGCTACGTCACCGATTATTAAAATAGTCGAGCGCAGATGAATGTAAGCTTGCCGTTCCATCGACGCCCCACCGAAACGTTGGCCGAAAAATACGCAGCCAAATAGGCAACCTCGTGAGGCGATTCTTGGGAAACACCGTCCGCACCCTTTCGAYTGTCATCGACGAGGTCACCAGGTACCAAGCGGTCGGAGCCTGTGCCCGCTTATTACAAGGGTCCTGTTCGGTCCGCACCCCTTCGACTGTCAACG